CAGAGTGTCACATACTCAAATAATCAAAACCCTTGATCCCACTCACTTGAAACAATGCTATGCCAATGAATGAATGATAATGAAGCATAAGCCTATATAAAATTAAAAATAAAAGAGGGAAAATTTTGGGGTACAACGATAACCTCTAGTAGGTAGATATCCTACAAGTATCACTATATCCCATTTATCATCCAACTTCTTTCTAAGTTAGCCCAGAACATGTCGATATGCCATAGAACCAAAAAATCTCAAATGGTTCAGATTCAGTTTAAATCCAGACCACACCTCTTCCAATGTTATCTTATAAATTTTTTAGGAAACCTATTCAAAAAATAGGAAGTTTCAGACACCGTTTCTCCCCACAACTCTTTCAGAAAGTTCTCCCTTTTAACATGCTTCTCACCATATTCATAATCGACCGATTCTTTCTCTCGAACATCATTTTGTTGTGGTGTATAGGGTGTTACTACCTCATGCACTATCCCATCTTCATCAAAAAACTTCCCAAAGTCATTTGAGACATACTCACATTCACCATCCATTTTGAGAACTTTGACCTTGTGACCGCTTTGCCGCTCAACCATGGACTTGAAATTCTTAAACACTTCAAATACCCCATCCTTTCTTTTGATTAGGTATTACAAACTTTTCTACTATAATCATCGATAAAAGTGACAAAATACCCATTTCCATCAAACGAATCAACTTGTATCGGCCCACACACATCGGAATATACCACCTCAAGGTGATGCTTATTCTAGAACTTGTATCTTTGCTGAAATTTACCCTTGTACTGCTTCACTTAGACACACTCTTCACAAATCTCATTTGGAATTTTGATGAATGGAAACCCGGTTACTATTCCGTTCTTATGCAATGCATTGAGATCTTGAAAATTGAGATGTCCAAGATAGTAGTGCCACAACCACTCTTCTCGACTTAACGCTGTAGCAAGACACCTATGCTTAATCACCTCCAAATCAATCTTGAAAGTAATATTGACATCCATAGGATCTTTAAGGACAAAAACCTCGTTTGCATCCATAACATGCAACATCTTGTCTTCCATGTGAATACTACTATAAAACGCGCATACAACAACGCCTAAGTCACCACGGTTCTTCCAAACACCATGGTGAAATCTCTAAACTCAGACGCTAACATTTATTTATTTATTTATTAAAAATTGTTAGGATATAATAACGTTTCATGACCTCACCGTGGTGATACAACCAAGATTTAATGGGTTCAAACCTCATCGTCCTCAAATATTTTATTCCTTTAATGTTAAGACGCACCTTTTATTTTTTATATATTTTTAAATAAAAAGTAAAATGGATATCACTACGGTCTTTTTGTACAACCGTTGTGAAATTTTTTCTCATAAAATAAAAAGGTAGCAGATACTTTATTTCGTTCATAATTCATAGGGATGCCCTAGCGAACGAGAGGACAAGGATAGAGAAGTCTTCACCATCCACTTCGAATATCATTTCTAGAAGGGAAATCTTCACCATCCTCTTCTAATATCACTTTTTATAAGTCATCATTCTCTTTCTCTGACGCTTATAGATGTTTAGGGTTACCACATCTGTTAATGTTCTTATGAATGTGTATTTTTCATATTTAGGGTTACCTCGTTCATAACCATAGAATGAAAGATGATATATTAGTTTATATTAGAACTCCCTAGTTTTTATGAATCATTAATGTGATTTTGTGAATCGTTTTGTGTGAATCATTAATGTGGTTTTGTGAATCATTAGTGTATATTAGTGTAAGTTAGAAAGCTTTAGCTTTTGTTCTTATGAATCATTTTGGTTTTTTTTCTTCATATTTTGTATATGAGAAAACTCTATAGTGTACGTCATACTAAGAGTTAAGTTGGAAAAAATTGAAAAAACTTAAGAAATGCTTATAGAACTTTTCATTAAATAAATAAAAAGGCCTTAATAATCATATCTAAATCCTCTGACTGAGAGAAATTTTGACTAAATATAATCTGCCTCATCCTCATTAATAGAATCGATGATGAATGGCTTTTTCACCCGTCTTTTTTTCTTGATCTCCTCTTCCTGAGAGCTCTCCTGGGTATCAAAAGTTTTGTTGCACAAGCGCGGCCTCTATCCACTTCTTGATTCTGAGGAGGATTTTGCACAAGAGCAGCCTCTACAGCCACAACAACTTCTTGATTTTGATTCATCTTCTTCTCTGATTTCTTTGGATGAAGTTATTTTTGTGTTTTGGTTCAAAGAGGAATTATGATTTTATATTATTTCTTCTGATTCTTCCTCTTCTTCGATCCTTGAAAGTCTAAAAGCCAAAAGATTTCAAGCATGTCAAGTTTGCTCATTATTGGTTCTTTAATTCTATACGTTTCTTCACTTGGAAGTTGGAAATATCTTCTGGTTGCCTATCTCGAGCTCTTAAAAAATTACATCTCTTTGTATTTTCAAATTTCTTTTTTCCTTATTTGTTATTCCTTCTTACGCAATGTGTACATAATGGAATTGTGTCATTGATCTATACAAGTTTTGATATTCAAATTAACAAATCGGTGTATTTTTAATTCTGGTATGATACGATTGAGAAATAACATATTTTGTGTTTGATGTAAATATTAATTTTGACAGAGAATATGTTTAAAATAGATACATGTTAAAATATGGGGAAAATTTTAAAAGCAGAGAATTGCTTTTTAAAAAACAACACATATTTTGACAAAGTCTATAATGACACATCGTGGTTGTATATTGAATGCTGACCAAAATAATATAAATTCCAAAATATCACTTCTGAGAATCAAACTTGGGACCTTTAGGTCTATCACAAAGGTTGATTTAACTAACCGTTGTGATATTGCATTATTTCTAGTATACTACAACGAGCCAAGGACCGTGGTTGTAAGTAACACATTTACAATAACACTTTACATAACAACGTCTGGACCTGCGTGATTATATATCTTTTCCAACCGTTGTTAAATGCCTTTTTCATAGTAGTGGAGTCTTGTAAACCTTCTCAAGAAATTGGTCAATGTTTAGCAAGTTACATTTAATTCCAGAAATTTAAAATACAATAATCCCTTTTCATGATCAAAACATCACTGATCCTATCGACCGCTAAAGTGGTGTCATTCACGAATTTCACTTTATTCTTTGTGGCTTGATTAATTTTGACAAACCAATCCTTTCTCCCCGTAATATGCGTAGAACAACCAGAATCTAAATACCATTCTTCGTTGCACTGGACTCCTTCTCTCACAGTCACCATAATATTTTCTTCTACAAATGTTTCTGCAGTGTTCTTGGAACTGTTGTTGCTGCATTCTCCTTCCGTGATCATGACCAAAAGTTTATTCTCTTCATCATCCTCTTATATTGCAACCCTGGCTTCATCTCCTTGACATTCCCCTTATTTCACATTGCATTCTCTTGCGAAATGACCTAACTTTTGACAATGGAAGAATTATGCCTTGCTTATGTCAAACTTTCCTTTTCCACCTCTAAAGTTGTTATAACCACCATTTTTGATGCAACTGCTCTCACCCTTTTAACAAGTCAAATTCTTCGAATTTTGAGACTCTTTTCCATCAAAATTCTAAAAATTATCTTTACTCTTCATGGACCATTTTCCTTTCGACTTCTTGTTCTTCTCATTGAACCAAGCTTGCAAAGTGATCCCCACCTTTGCCTTATCATTATTTTTCTCCTCCATCCTTTATTCATGAGCCTCAAGAGAGCTTTGAAGCTCATATTTGCTCAATGTCACAAGATCATCCGACTCTTCAGTTGCCACTACAATATTGTCAAATCTTCCCGTCAAAGAACACAAGATCTTCGACCTAACATTCTGCTCAGAAATAGCCTCTCTGTCACACCTTATTTTTACCCCTTACTTTTTTCATCTGATGCATATTTTTGTTTTTTAAAAGTCAACATAAAAATCATTCATTTTGTGTATTTTTCATTTTTTTAATCACTTTAATTCAAAAATCTCAACAAAAAAAAAGTTAAATCAATTTAATTTCATTAATTTTTTTAATCATTTTATAGAATTTTTTTCATTAATTAGAATTTGCAATTAAATGTCCATTTCTAGTTATTATTTGATTTTATAGCTCTAAAGGAGTGTGTGGCAATTTTGAAGTTTACCTGAGAGATCCGCGCTACGCTGGAACGGGAACCGTCAGACTAGCACCAAACTTGTAAGTTTTTGCGTTTCTCTCAGATTTTTTTCATACCACTGTGTAACCTATGCTATATTGATTTCAAACCACAACTCAATTGCATGAAACCACTTGCTTATGTCATTTAATTTGATTATGAACCTTTAGGTTTTTTGTGATTAAATATGAAATTAAACAATCTTGGTTTTGAATTGGGACATTTAGAGTTTGGATTCTTATTTAGAGTAAGAATTCGAGCAAAACTCTATATTCAATTGTGGTTTTCAGTAGGATTTTGTGAATTTTGAAAAAAATGGTGATGTTACTTTATGTGATAGAAGGACATTCATTGGCTGATCCTGATGAGCTTTGTGACCCTGGTGAGCCTTTAAATTATGCCTTCCTTTTAGAGCTTTTACAACATGCAATGTTTTTTATGTTTCTCATGCAGATGGGAATGTCTTTACATATAGTTGTTGACGCTTCTCTTTGTCAATGAATTCGAACTTCAACACCACCATTCCACCATAACTGAAGAAGCCATGCCTTAAAATGGGCAATGAAGACTTCCAGAGATGATTGGCTTGTGTTTTACAAAAAAAAATTGCACGTTGCTCAAACAAATCTAAGAACAAGAAAGTGTGTCAGACTCCTTGTCGGGCTTCTAAACATTTTGCTGGATGTGAACCTGAGTTGTGGAACACCCTTGTCTCCTATAAGGTGAGTTCCTGAAGTACTGCCTACCGAATGAGCTCTTGAATATGCAATTGTTCATGCATCTGACATGTTTATCAGGAAATGTATTTTATTCCGTGTAACTTTCAACCATGAAATGGAAGGAAAGGATTTGAGTATATCTCATGTCAAAGTGATGAAAAATGTTGTGTGTTTGCATAAGTCGAGTTCTGATGATACCTTTCAGAAACTATCATCTCTTATTTCTTCCAATGGCCACTCTACAACTGGTGAAATTACTTACATTTATTTGGTAATGACGTCTTACTAACCTACCATGTCCAACAATAATAAGAAGTAACTTTTATCTCGTGAATCAGTTTCTTGCATATGAGTTGTGGTTTAACCATATCAACCAACATTATAATGGCGAATCACATAAGAGTACTTACTCAAAACTCTAAACATCCCCATCGATTTGTAGCTAGTAAAGTCATTTGGGTCAACTACGACCTTAGAGATGGACTCGGATTATCCTTCTTGCACCATGGATTATCGATCCCACCACTAGCAATTATGATGCTTGTTAAGGTTATTTTCATGGAAGTCATAGATGAATCTTTGAAGAAGAAGAAGAAAGTGTAACAGAAATGTAACAGAAAAATTATAACAGAAAAGGAATAGGGAAAGATAAGATTGATCTCAAAATTGGATTCTGTTATTTCATTTTGGATAAAAGTATAAGTGGTAATACAATGGATATATATACACTATTAGATCTAATAACAACCCTTAGATCTAATTAAACTAAAACCACTAATACTTCAACAGCCTCCCTCAAGCTGAGCATTGTAAATGTCAATCATGCTCAGTTTGGATATGAAAGAATTGAACTTTGGAGCAGCCAAAGCTTTTGTTAAGAAGTCTGCCAATTGTTCTTGTGAAGAAATAGGTAAGAGTCTAAGAAAACCTTGATGTACTTTTTCTCTAACAAAATGACAGTCAATGTCTAAATGCTTGGTCCTCTCATGAAAAACCGGATTAGAGGCAATATGAATTGCACTCTGACTGTCACAGTAAAGCACTGGTTGTCGTGTAGGTGTGATTTGCAAATCTCTGAACAAGTGAAGTAACCACTGCAGTTCACAAGTTGCTGTTGAAAAGGCTTTATATTCAGCTTCAGATGAAGATCTGGAAACCGTCTGCTGTTTCTTGGCGCGCCATAAAATTAATGAGGAACCAAGAAAGAAACAATAACAAGAAATGGACTTGCGAGAATCTATGCACCCTTCCCAGTCTGAGTCAGAATATCCCAGAAGTTGTACTTCAGAATCACGAGGAAATAATAGTCCTCTTCCAGGATTATGCTTAAGGTACCTGATTACACGGCATGCTGCATTAAAATGAGTTATAGTGGGAGCATGTAAGAACTGACTTAATTGTTGAGTAGCAAATGTAATATCCGACCTTGTTGTGTTAAGATACAACAATCTACCAATAAGTCTCTTGTATGTAGCTACATCCTCAAAGGGCTTGCCACTATCTTGATGTAATTTTATTGAAGGGTCAACAGGAGTTGCTGCAGGTTTTGATCCTAATAAGCCAGAGTCATTAAGAAGATCCAGGCAGTATTTTCTTTGAGAAATAGCTATCCCTGATTTAGAATGTGCCACTTCTATACCCAGAAAATATTTGAGAACTCCTAGATCTTTAATCTTGAAATGATTGTCAAGTGTATTTTTGATCCTTTGGAACTCACTAAGAGAAGTACCAGCCAGGATGATATCATCCACATAAACCAAAAGAGCTGTGAAATCAGTTGCAGTTCTTAATGTAAAAAGAGAATAATCAGCTGTAGACTGTGTGTAGCCTTCCTGGACCAAAAGTGAGGTCAACTTCTCATACCACTTTCTGCTTGATTGTCTAAGACCATAGATGCTCTTAAGTAACTTGCAAACCTGATTAGGTTTGGTACAAGTAACTCCATCAGGTATAGTCATATAGACATCCTCTTGTAAATCTCCATGTAAAAATGCATTGTTGACATCTAATTGGTGTAGATTCCAATTGTAAACAGATGCAAATGCAAGTAACATTCTGACAGTGGTAAGCTTAGCTACAGGACTAAAACAATCAAAGAAATCAAGGCCCTCAATCTGATTGTAACCTTTAGCTACTAATCGTGCCTTATACCTTTCTATGGAACCATCAGCTTTGTGTTTGATTTTGAAAACCCATCTATTGCCTATAGGCTTGACATGAGGAGGAGTATCAACTATAATCCAGGTGCCAAGTTTTTCAAGAGAATTCAGTTCAGATTTGATAGCAGATAACCAATGTTCAGATAAACTAGCTTCTTTATAAGTTTTAGGTTCAACATTATGGGTGAGTGAAACAGAAAAGGCATGTTGAGAAGGAGATAAATGTGAATAAGAATGGAAATGAGTGATAGGATATAGAGTACCTGAGGATGTTGGTTCTTTTGAACCATGAGCAGCATTCCATACATAATCTGCTAAGTAAGAAGGGGTTTGTTTTTGTCTGATGGGTTTGGAATATTGATTTATCTGCTGGTTAGAAGGATGTACAGTGGGGGAAGGGCAGGATAAAGGTTCATGAGTAGGTGTGATATGAGGGACAGGGCTAGGTAGTTCAGTTTCAGTAGATACAAGAACAGGGCTAGGTGGTTCAGTTTCAGTAGATACAAGAACAGGGCTAGGTGGTTCAGTTTCATATGTGAAAAGTGGTGGTACAGATGTTGGTATATGTGATGGTGAATTAACTATGGGATATTCACATGAGTTATTAACAGGATAATGGTAACTCCAATTGGCAGACCTAGAATTTGGATTATATGGCAGGATAGTTTCATGATGTTTAGTGTGTCTAGAGACAAAAATTTCTTTATTATTAATATCATATAGAACACACCCTTTAACTCCAGGTTTGAATCCAAGAAAAATACAAGTTCTACCTCTTGGATCAAGTTTAGTTCTATGTGATTGAATTGTGGAAGTATACACAAGAGGGCCAAAAACTTTTAATACATGTAGGTCTGGTAATTTTTGGTGCATGATGAAATAGGGTGATTTATTGTTAAGAATAGGACTAACTACTCTATTCATGATAAAAACAGCATGGGACACAGCATAACACCAAAACTGTTTGGGTAAATTTGAATGAAACAAAAGGGCTCTTCCTATGTTAAGGATTTGTTGGTGCTTTCTCTCCACTCTTCCATTTTGTTGTGGAGATTCAACACAACTGGTTTGGTGTATAATTCCCTTTGAGGCATAGAATTGAGGCATGAGAAACTCTTGACCATTGTCAGTCCTAATGACTTTAACTTTAGTGTTGTGTTGTGTGTGAATCAAATTTACAAAGTTTATGATGTGTTGCCTAGTTTCAGATTTAGATTTCATCAAAGTGAGCCAGGTATATCTACTGTGATCATCAACAGCAGTAAGAAAATAAGAGAAACCATGAACAGATTTGATTGAGAGAGGACCCCAAATATCAAAGTGTATCAAATCAAAAATGTGAACAGCTTTATTAGAACTTTTATGATAAGGTAAATTTTTATGTTTAGCTAAATGACATATATCACAAGTTCCTTTTGAATCAACAATAACAAAGGGAAATTCAGGTTGAAGTAAAAGCATTCTAGAATTAGAAAGATGGCCTAATCTGAAGTTCCACAAGGCTTGGTCAGGTATGGTAATGGCATGAGAAACAGAAATACCAGGTGAAATAGTAGGCTTCTTATTTTGCAGATTGAGATAATACAAGCCTTCAATGAATTCAGCTGAACCAATCATCTTCAGTGACTGAGGATCCTGAATCAAACATTGGGAATTAGTGAACTGAATAATACAAGGTAACTCAAGGCAAAGTTTTGATACTGAGATCAAGTTTAAAGAAAACTGAGGGACATACAAGACATTTCTGATAAAAAATTGAGATGTAAGTCTAATGGTACCCATCTGATTAGCTATAGCAAAATTGCTATTAGGTAATGTTATGTTAATAGGTTTTATGTCTTGTAGAGATTCGAACCAATGAGTAAATCCACAAATGTGGTCACTTGCACCAGAATCTATAATCCAAGAACTCAGAATAGAACTATTCAAACATAAAGAAGTAGTTATGTTACCTGTATTGGCCGCTGAATGTAATACTTTCACCTGATTTGATGTACTCGATTGTTGGCCTCTATGAGAGCTTTGGAGAATATTCATGAGCATTTGATATTATTCATTGGTAAGTTGAGGTGAAGACTGAGCAACATCAGTAGAAGTGTCTGTACTAGAAACATCAGCAGGTTGTTTCGTAGTCAGATTATGAGCATTGGAGTTAGAATTACGTTGCAAATGTGGTGGTACGCCATGTTTGCGATAACAAGTATCTATGGTATGACCTGACTTTCCACAGAAGGTACAAACTCGTTGCCCATGTTTCTTGAATGCAGGCTTTCTGCTATCAGCAGCATTGATCAATGCCTTTGGTTCATCATCAGATGAAATAGAGATATGTTGTTGTGTCGAAATTTGACGCTCATGTTGAATAACCATAGAGAAGATATTGTTTAAAGGAGGTAATGGATCAAGAAGCAAGATTTGCGATTTCACCACATTATACTCTTCATTCAAACTAGTTAAGAAACGTATAACATGCAGCAAATTATGATTGTTCCTAGCACTACGCATAGCTTCACAAGAACAGCGAATTCTACAAGAACAGTGAGGAATAGGCATGTATAATTCTAATTCCTCCCAGAGTATTTTGAGTTGAGAGAAGAAATCTGTTACCGTGCGATTGTCCTGCTTCAAAGAGTAAATTTCTTGTTGCAGCTCTGAAATTCGAACCAGATCACCTTGTGCGAATCTTTCTTTCAAATCGTTCCAAACATCGATAGCATTTTCCATGAAAACGATTGATTGACCTATCGAATCAGATACAGAACGCATGATCCACGAATGTACAAGCATATTGCAACGAGTCCAAGCTCGAAAGGTTGGATCGAAAGAATCAGTAGGAATTTGAATCGTGCCATCCACAAAATCAAATTTCATCTTTCCACCGAGTGCGTGACGCATCGATCTTGCCCAGCTATGGTAGTTAGAACCATTGAGAACAGGGGTAATGGAGATCGAATAAGGGCCATCACTAGGATGCACATAATATGGGCTGGTAGGATCAAGAATTGGATCGAGAGAAGATGAAGCGGAAGCAGTATTACACGGAGGAGCCATGGATGTACAAGCTCAATGATACCATGTTAAGGTTATTTTCATGGAAGTCAAAGATGAATCTTTGAAGAAGAAGAAGAAAGTGTAACAGAAATGTAACAGAAAAATTATAACAGAAAAGGAATAGGGAAAGATAAGATTGATCTCAAAATTGGATTCTGTTATTTCATTTTGGATAAAAGTATAAGTGGTAATACAATGGATATATATATATACACTATTAGATCTAATAACAGCCCTTAGATCTAATTAAACTAAAACCACTAATACTTCAACAATGCTCCATACCTCTCATTTGCATCTTTCTTCTCCGACGATCTCC